GCCCCCCGCCCCTGGGAGCGCGGCGGGAGCGTCCGCTGGCCGACGGGAGCGGACGGAGCAGTGGGGAAAGGAAAACCATTATTGCTGGCATAAACCCATTGACTTCTCATTCTTCCCTTGTCCCCGGAGAGCTTTTCACTCTCCCTCACCATACAGTTTTTCTTCTCAGAACCCTTCTCTCTCCTTCCTAACCCTTTGCGTCCCGCGGCTCCCCCAGGGGATTTGATGGCTGCAGAGAGCGCAAGCGCCTTAAGAAACACCCGCTGCTGAAGGGAGAGGACAGCAAGGTGGGAGCCTCTGCCACCTCCTTGCACTCTCACCTCGGAAGATGCTGAATTTTGTGAGCAAAGGCAGAACTTCACCTATAAAGGGACGGCTACTGCAAGGAACGGAGAGGGGGAACTGGTGATGCAGCACACAACTGCTCATCACAGAATGTTTTGGGTGGAAAGGGACCCCTAGAGCGCACCCAGCCCAACCCCCCTGCAGGAGCAGGGACACCTTGAACCACATCAGGGTGTTCACAGCCCCATCCAACCTGGCCTGGAATGTTCCCAGGGATGGGGCCTCCACCCCCTCTCTGGGCAACCCCTGCCAGGGTTTCACCACCCTCACTGGAAAGAATTTCTTCCTTAGATCCAGTCTAAACCTCCCCTGCTTCAGTTTAAAACCATCCCCCCTTGTCCTGCCCCAGCTGGCCCTGCTAAAAAGCTTGTCCCCCCCTTTCCTCTGGGCCCCCTTGAAGCCCTGACCGGCCGCACTCAGCTCTGCCCGCAGCCTTCTCTTCTCCAGGCTGAACACCCCCAACTCTCCCAGCCTGGCCTCAGAGCAGAGGGGCTCCAGCCCTCGGAGCATTTTAGTAGCCCTCCTCTGGCCCCGCTCCAACAGGTCCATGTCCTCCTGGTGCTGAGGGCTCCCGAGCTGGACGCAGGGCTCCAGGGGAGCTCTCCCCAGAGCAGAGCAGAGGGGCAGAATCCGCGCCCTGCTGGCCATGCTTCTCCTGATGCAGCCCAGGGTAGGGTTGGCCTCCAGCCTAACTGCAAGCCAAGGAGCTCGCAGAAGCAGGCCTGAGACCGTGACGGAGGGTGGAGAAGCGAGACTGTTAGTCCCAGCTGCTCTGCGCAGAGCTCCATCTAGCTGCACCTTGGTCCCTGTGCTCCGCAGCCCAGCCATAGCGTGGCTGGAAACGCAGGGAGACAGATGGGCAAACGATTCCTCAAGCCCAGTCTGGGATTTGTAATAATCAGCCAGAAAATAGTGTGGATCCAGAATTAAGCTGTGCCCCGGCACTGGGGCTGCACAAGACACTCAGCGTTGCAGTCAGCCAGGACAGGGGAGCGTTACCAACACAGAGGAGGGGGAGCTGGTGGTGTCAGGGAAAGGTTTTCAGGCAGAGATCTTTGTTAAGAGTATTTAGATCTTTGTTCCGAGTACTTCACAGTGTTCCTGGCCCTCTCAAAGGGGTCATAACCCTCGCTCCCGCCTCTCTTCTCTCCGCTGTTGCACTGTGGCACATGCCAACACACCTAATAGCACAGCAGGGGCAGGTAGGGCCCAGCTGCACGACGCGAGACATCCCAATGCCAGGCCTCAATTAGTCATTTATCTAACTGCATCAAGAGAGAGAAATTCCCGGTGCTGCAAAGATCCTGTCGTATTTGCCTACAAGTAACTCCCACCCTATGGAAAGATCACGGGGCTGGGTGCCAGGTTTTCAAGGACTGGAAACAAGTCCAAGGCCAGAAGTCGACCGGAACAAACCATCACCACGACTGAGACTGATGGCGTCCGAGCCTCCGGCTGCGCTTGCTCGCCAGGCTCTCCCACAGAGCACGCTAGCACTGACTGCACACAACATCTTCTATAAGCTTTTCTCCCTCAGAAGTATGACAGCTTGCTCCCTTTAGTCCCCAAACTCAACTAGAAGGAAACCCCATCCATCTGCAGACCCACACTATGGTCTGGACCTGCCCCCCCCGCCCCCGGCTGTCGACTTACGTGCGCAGGAAACGACGACTTCAGTGGGGAGGCTGCAACAGAGATCGCCGTAAAGCAGCCGCACGTTGAACGGGAAGGTCTTGCTTTTACTTGACACGTTGTAATTGAAGACCAACAAGTTACACAAGGAGTTCCTCTGCAAGGTTCCTTCTATCTGGTGTGAAAAGTGTTCCTGGGGAGGGGGGGGGGGGGGAACAACTTCTGAAACACGAAGCTCCCATTAGCTGGGAGTTTGTGGAGCGCAGTGCCCCAACCCTCCAAACCATGCCTATATACTGTACATCATTCTCTGGAGATCTTCAACCCCCGCCTGGACGCTGTCCTGTGCCCCCTGCTCTGGGCGAGCCTGCTTGGGCAGGGGGGTGGCACTGGGTGAGCTCCCGAGGGCCCTGCCAACCCTTGCCATGCTGGGATTCTCACTTGGGAGAGACTTAACTAAACCAGTGCTCGTGCGCACCCTTACGCCATGTCCTCCAGCAGCTTTTTACAAGATCACAGCTATTTCAGCGTAGGCACCTCTGGAGTCTGGCAGTAAATTTTAAATGAGTACTTGGATATTGTCTGGTCACACGACAATCGATGCAATGGGCAACCCAGTTGATACTCACACAATAATCTGTAAGTTCTAAAAAGCAGAACTGCGAGCGCTCCACATAAAGAATTCCGCCCAGATTCCCCCTAGCACTTCAGACATTGGTACATCAAAGGGAAAAGGATGGTTGAACACCACTGCTGTGGCCACTGGTACCTGTAACTGGTCTGCCTGGTACCTCCTCCCCACGTAAGCGTTCAGGTGGTCTGACAGGACAGACAAGAAGCGTCTGATGTCCGTCTGCAAGTACTTCTTGGCAATCTGCTCCAGGGGGATGAAGATGGGGATGGAGTGGCGGTGAATCTGCACCTCTGGCTTGGTGAGCAGGTCCAGGTAGTAGGAGTCCAAGTAGGTGCCCTCGTAAGCCGTGCTGATGCAGAAACACACTCCCCGCTTGGTCAGCTTCCCGCTGATCCCTTGGGCCCAGAGAGGGGGTTTACTCAGCGCTACTCTTAACTCAGCACCCCAAGGCAACGCAGACCGCAAGAGGGGCCGCGTCCTCTTACTGTGCTAGCGCGGGGAGCTCCCGCCGAGGATCGAAGACTTGCAAGAGTTTAGGGACATAACACAGAGGAAATTTTTAACAAGGGACCTCTAACGAGTTAAAGTGGCTGAACGGTTGCTTAAATTCCTGGTAACTGAGTTACGCTGCCACTTCCAAGCACGGTCCTGGCTCCAGCACAACAGGGAGAACAGGCAGCCCTGGGGGGAGGAAGGCAGCACTTCATTGCCCCAAGGAGAGCAGGAGTGCTCACAGCGGGGCTCAGCCTGCCTGCATCAAGCAGGACTCATGTCCTTGCACCATCCAGAAGACAGAGCAAAGGAGATTCTCATTGGAAACCTAAATGTTTTGGTTTTTTTTTTTTTAAAAAGCTCAGGAGCAGATGAAAAGAGAGTGCTGAGCTCACAAGCTTGCTTGGAAGACCCAGACCCATTGGATATTTAACTGCCTGATTCTCAAAGATTTCATAGTTACATGTTTTCAGGAATCTAGACCTTAGCTTAAGCAACACAGTTCAGTAAGTAACAGTTCCTGCAACATCCCAGAGGCCTTCTGTGAAAGGCAGGGAATTACAAGGTAATGGCTCTTCCAGCACCGTCAGACTCTAAAGGCTCCAAGCACAACAGCAGCACCGTTAATGGGGAAGTTACACTTCACATCAGGCTCGTTTTCCAAAATTTAGCACCCCAGAAACGCAGCCATTGGCAGAACACACGCAAATCTCGAGACATTACCTGTGAGGTAAAAGAGCTGCAGCATGGCCTTAACGCTTTTTATCTTCCACTCCAAAACAGCCCGAGCACTGGGCTGCGCCGGATCCAACGCGACTCCTTCTTTCCCAAGTTGCTACAAAAGCCGGAAGAGAAGAGGAGTCAGAAATCGCTGACACAAACGTGTCACCTGTGGGAAACAGAGTCAGGCTACAGAGAAATAACCCGGCACTGAGAAAAGCGAGATGGCATTTCAAGCAGAATTGGGGAGAAATGAAGCAGAAGAGGGGAGAAAAAGTTGAGAACAAGAGTTTGGAAATGGCTGCATGACCTCCAAGCAAGCAGACCTAGCAGTTCTGGACTATGTGGTACTGAAAACAGGGGACACCAGGACTATATGTCACTTAAAAAGAGAAAATTAAAAAAAAAAAAAAATAGTTGACTCTGTATGAATCACCTAGGTAAAGCCACCCCCTGAGAGCATGAGCACACCAGAGCCTCTGCCTGATGTCTGCAGCGAGCCCCTTCTCACCCCCTTTTGCTGCAGGTCCACCTTAGCCCGCAGCTCATCCCTCTGGAGTCTCAGCTCCTGCACTCTCGCTTTCAGCCTGGCCAGCTTCTCTTCTTGCTGCTCCCTTTCCTCCTGCTTCATGGCTGCCTGATGAGCCCGCGTCTCCAGCATTTCCAGGTGAGCAAACACCCCTGCGAGGAAAACACACGACACGCTCAAAAATCCAGGCTGGGATTATTAGCGGCCTGCACTGCGGACCCAAACAAATTATGTCCAGTGCAGGTACGTAAAGAAACCACTTAAAACAGCTTTTCAAAGGGGCAGGGGACAGGCAAACATCTGGTGAAGAGGCTTTGGGGAATTTTAATCAGCAAGGCTGAGTGCCAGCAGACCCTAAACACTGGGGTGCTCCACACCAGGTAGCTACGCTCTGGAAAAGCAGAGTAAGCTTTCCCCAAAATCCTAAGAGATCTGCAATTCCCAGTTTTACTTCTAAGCCCATCTGCAGAGCGGCAAAGTGGCTTCTCTGAAGCCCCCATACCCCAAATTGGCTGAGAGTGACTCAAGACATGTCTGGGCGAGCCAGGGGGTCACATCTGGCCCTGAGTATTTCAGGATTCAGCTCCCACAGGAGGACGTACTTTGCACTTGGCCACAGAATCACAGAATCACTTTGGTTGGAAAAGACCTTTAAGATCATCGAGTCCAACCGTTAACCTACCCCTGCCATCCCACCACTAAACCCTGTCCCTAAGCACCTCGTCTGCCCGGCTTTTAAATACCTCCAGGGATGGGGACTCGACCCCTTCCCTGGGCAGCCCCTTCCAGTGCCTGAAAATTTTTTTTTTAAAAAAACAAAACAAAACAAAACACCTCCTCTACTTTGGAGCATTTGATGAAGGTGTATTTTTTAAAAAAAAAATAATAAAAAAATACAATTCCTCCACCTCAGAGCGTTTGATGAAGGTGTGACTCATCAGCATCTTCAGATCTGCCCGTTCTACTGGATTTTTAATTAAGCATTTATTTACAAACTCCTGGAAATCTTGTGTGAAAACTCCATTCGGCAGCTTGGGAGGTGGCTCATTAATTATATAATCCAGCAGTTCAAAGATGGCCATTGCAGGCCGGCTGTCCATCCCATGGCCACTGATGGGGCGTCCTGGTGGCCTGGCCCGTGGCGAGATGCTGTGAGACTCTCCCTCTGCCGCGTCCACCACAGGACGGCCAAATATTGCTTCCAGATCCTTGGAGTCTGGCGGGGGATTGGGTACCAGCTCCACTAATGACAGACCCATGCTCCAAACGTCGGACTGGACTGAGTAGTGGGTGCCCTGCAACCGCTCAGGAGACATGTAGGACCGAGTTCCCACAAAAGAGTTTGGCTTGGAGTCAATGAGCTGACCCCGAAATCACACAGCTTAATCTCTCCTGGAGAATTAACCAGGATGTTAGAAGGCCATCCCACACCCCGCGCCCCAGGCAGCTCACCGTCTGGTGAATACGCTTTCCCTTCCTCCATCTTCCCTCGCCAGCTCTCCGGCGCGTGAGAAGGCAGGCGTCAGCCCTGGGGCGACGTGGGGGCAGCGAGAGCTCTTCCTCGGGGGGGACGACGACCTTCCTCTTCCTTGGGGGGACACACACACCTTCCTCTTCCTTGGGGGGGAGGACGACGAACTTCCTCTTCCTCGGGGGGGGGGCGCGACCCACTCCCCCCTTCCCCC